ATAGGAATTCTCATTATTGTCTTCCAACAATGCTATGATGTTCATGTGGGGAATTTGGCATGGCATCAACCAATTATCTACTTGATATTGTGTTGATATTGCAAGGAGAAATTATGCATTGGCCTCTCACATCATGTAAAATTGCTTTAATTAATTATTAGAAGCTGCAAACCCATGTTTCACTATCATTGTCAAGGCCTACAACCCCTTTAAAGTGTAAATGATACCTTTTTTAGGGCTTCATATTCTGTACTCATTGTTGAAAAGCTTGGAGCAAGAAGCTGCAGCACAGAGTTTCTATCAGACGTACTACATGATGATTGTTCAGCACGTGTTATCAGTTGTCACAGACACATCACACACTGCAGGTACTTTTGGATAAAGGTACTTTGTGTTCAACTAACATAATAAAAAAAAAACCTTGACATTCAAAAATCGAAACAGTGAAGTCAGTCCTGTACAAAACCAAACATAGCTTTGTTTGGAATGGCCTAAATTGTGTTTAAAATTAGTTTCTTTAGAATCTACTGATTTTATACCTAAAGAATATTCTTAAGTGTATCCATTCTTTTCTGGACTTATTACTGTGCAAAGTAAACTGCAGTATCTAAGGACATGCACACTAACAGTATCTCATCTTAATCGCTATAGATAGCCACCTCCTTAGAATAAGGATTCATACTTTTTTTTGTCATTTCATCTCTTTGTTTATTGGTGAACTTTTGTTGCCGTATTTGTCTTCAAAATTTTATAATCATGTGGTTCAACCTCGTTGTTTGCTTGCTATGTTTTGTTTCTGTCAATTTTTTACTTAAAGTTATTTTTTCCCATGTGTACTTAGGTTTAACAATGCATGCAACAATTTTGGCACACATGTTCAGTTTAGTAGAATCAGGGAAAGTCTCAGAGCCTCTCTTTGCTGCAGAAGCAACACAGTATTCCTCAAATCAGGTGTGTGTGTGGTGAAACCAGCATTGCTGATCTACTTCTGTGGAATTTAAACAATTTTGTTTCTGCTTTTTTTGAAATTCTTGCTTTTTAAACTTACAATAAATCATGTCTCCTGGTTTCAGGCGTATGTTCAAGAGTGTATAGCCAATCTTCTCAAGCAGGCATTTCCACATTTGCAACAGTATGTGGTGCCATGTTTTCATACACCCTATAACCTAGTTTGATAAAATGTGACCAAATATCAAGTTAAATGAAGATTGAACTTCTTTCACAGGCTCTCAAGTTCAGAGTACTTGTCCTGTAAAATAAAGTGAATTCTCTAAAAGATAGTTAAACTCACTGAAAACTATGAATTGGCAATTAACACAACTCTTCTTTTATTTCTGATAGTTATTATGGGACTTGAACAACCATAACAAGGAAGAATGCCAGAGTGTATTTGGTGGTCTTTTTCTAATTGTGATTTTATATTTTCTATAGTGCACAGATTAAGTTGACTGTCCAAGGGCTTTTTGATCTTAATCAGAACATTCCAGCCTTCAAGGAACATTTGAGAGACTTCATGGTGCAAATCAAGGTATCCTGTCTGTTTTATGCACCTTTTATTAACATAATTTTTTGAAAGAACTGTTTCATTTGTAAGTGTATAGTGGATTTGAGCTGTTAGATGAGTTAAGTTGTCCACACTCATCTTATGTCCAAGAAGTCTCGGTAACATATTTTTTAAAAAAGCAATATATTTATTTATCACAATTGTAAATTAAAAGCAACAGCAATTAGCACAGAGTAATGATATACAAGTTAACTTCTAATGTGGATCATGTGTTTTTGATGGCTTATCAATCCCAACCCTCAAATTGTATTGTGTGTGTGTGTGTGTGTGTGTGTGTGTGATAATATAGGTTTTAACCCTTTGACACCCAATGACCGACCAGCATCTATTTTCTCCTGACAATATCAACTCTGAATCAGTCATTAAGGTCAAAAGAATAGAGGAAATGATCACCAACTTAGAAAGAAGTTAGTGATTTTTGGAGAAATTCTCCTTATTTACACCTTAGGAAATACAGTATAGAGAACTATATGGAAAATATGCATACTGTTAGGCTGTATGCATATTGTATATGCATACTGTTAGGCTGTAAAAGGTTCAAACTCTCTTGTATCCTGTTTATGTCATCCAGGAATACAGAGGTGAAGACGTTACTGACCTGTATTTGGACGAGCGTGATCAACAGCTAAAATCAGCGCAGGAAGAGAAAAGAAAAGTTCAGCTTTCTGTACCTGGAATTGTTAATCCCCATGATGTGCCCGAAGAAATGCAAGATTAATATTTATTACAAGTTTTTAAAGATATTCTTTAGCTATTAGTTAGATTTTGTCAATAAGTAAGATACTATTATTATCTACATTCAACATGTATTTTTGTACTTTTTGTGTTTGTAATTACATGATAATCTGGCTGAGAAAAGCAACTTACTTTTTAGGTAACTGCAATTCTGAAACACTGTATGAGTGGTGTATAATGGTACATGGATACCATGCTCTTTAGCTGTTATGGACAATAAGTTGTATTATTTCATGTTGAAAATAGTTTTGCTGTAGGAGTCAGAAAGCCAAAGGCTGCAACAACTTGTACAAATTGGATGATACAATTTTTTAAAAAAGATTTGTTGGTTTATACTGAGCAGTGAGCAGTCATATTGATTTATATGGACTGTTTCATTAGAGGGAAAAGTTTGGTTGTAAAAAATGCTTATGGTGTTTGCCAGCTGAAACTGTTTAGACCATTTTCCCTTTCATGGTTTCCTGCACAGTGATCCACTGAAAGTGTAGTGCTCGGTGTAAAGATTTTGTCAGTATATCTTGAGTTTGTATTATTTTGTTACCAGTTATTTACATCCATTCCATCATTTAATATAAAGTGTACTATTGGAAAAGTGTGGAATATGAATAAAAAGACGAGTAATGTATTTTATATTATTTTATATTGCAAAGTAGGAATTTATGAACAGTAAGTAAATGAACTGCTGTACATTTCTATATTATGTGGTGAAGAATGGTTTCACCTCAAGGCAAAGGACAAATTGTTAGGAAATTTGTGTAACATTCCTTTTAGGTAGAAAAGTCTGTCATTAAGTTTGAAACATGAATGTTTTAGATTTGTTGTCAGTGCATTATGAGAATTTGATGATTTCTGCTAAACATTCATGCATGTCACACTTTATCTGTGCCATTGAAGTAGGTTGATGTTCTTCTGAAATACATGTAGTTGTTCAAGTTTAAACAGTTGCAATTAGTCCATTACGTTACGTTATGCTAATCTTGTATCACAGTAAGAACTGTTCTTCATAGTTTGTAACTCCAGAAACATTAAATTAATCATTTTTTGCAACTTGAAAAAAAAAAAAAAAGAGAAAGCATATGTTTTATTGCTTGAGTTGTAGCCCCAAGATTTGGTCAGAGCCTATGTTTGCTTCTCTGATGAAGCTGTTAGTCAAAGAATTAAGTTGAGAACTTCAGTAGGTTGACATTTTAGATTTATGCACTGTCAAAGCCCCCTTTGTATCATTTTGCACTATGGTTTTGATTTTATTCCATTAGCAGTTAGCCTCACTGTGTTGCAGCCAATTTGCATTTTTGTGAATCTGCTTCCCTTTGGGGTGCAAGAGCTCAGATGGGGTGTAACTTTTTGCATTGCACAGTCCAGTAGACATGAACCCAAGGTACGTGCAAAGAGAGAGTCCTCTACTAAGAGACTGTTTCTTTGTGCTTGCCTAGCACTCACCCACTATTGTTTGTCACAAATTATTAAGTATTTTGTTTTGTCTAATATTTTAATTTGCAAACACAGGATCATACGAGGATATCACAACCAAATTGTCAATAAAAAAAATAAACTCAGAACAATGTCTGCCCTGTGGTCATTAAAGGTTATCAGACTGATTTTTAAGCCATTATTACCGGTCTTCAATAGCTAGTATTTTCCAAGCCTCTTTAGACTCACTACAATGTCAAATCCTGATCTTGAAACACCCTGTGTTTGGAAGCAAGACAGAAAATCCAAACAGACGCTTTAGTTCCAACATGGAAAACTGTAGACTCCCAGTAAATGATAACTACCATTTAAACAAGCTTCTGAACACCCTGGATGCAACCCTCAACATAAAAGAGATTTTATAATGCTTTGATAATGCACTTGTGCAGTCGCTCATGCATATGCTTAAATAGTAGATCATGGAGTTGTGACAAGTCAGGTTTGATCGACTGGTAAACCTAAGTCCATTTGGTTATCCTAGACTTGTGTAGGAGATTAGTTATTTTAGAGGGCCAATAGTTAAGGTCTGTGGTGTTTGTTCTTTGTCAGTGTACCATGCCAATGCCAAAAGCTTACTCCCCATTCCATTCATGACATCCATATTTTTTCAACCATTTGAATTAACTTGAGTAATTTTTGTTTTCTGAGTGCCATACATTTTCTCTCCAAGTAGACAGGAGAATACATATATCTTATTAACCAAGCGCGAGGGCCGTACTGGGAGAATATTGGCCAAAGGTCTTGACAGTACGGCCTGAGGTCTTGACAGTACGGACCGAGCGCAGTGAGGTCCGTACAAAAAAGACAGAGGGCCGATATTCTTCCAGTACGGCCCCGAGCAAGCTTGGTTAATAAGAGATTTATTATACGACTGAAGTTCGAAGGGACATAAGTGCAGTATCATTCAGGACCATTTCGAACAATGCTCGGTCCAATACTGAGAGAATATTGACCGGCAATAGAGCATTTTGATTGGTTGATTTTAGTTATTGGCCCTCTGACTGCCCGAGTCATGTAATAAAGTTAAAAACAGTCTATAGCTAATAACCCAGTCTGTTCTCATTATCTGTTTGCCAGATGATGTTTTCAAATCATGAAGGGAGATTACATGTACTACTTGATAACTTCTGACTGTAAATTTATGAAAGTCTTACATCTGAACTGCAAATTAATCAATGAATACGAGAGCGATCTTCACTGACAGCAGTGAGCACTACTAGAACAGTAGTGAAAATAAGGCCAGAAAAAAAAATACAGGTCTGCACAGGCATGTATTTTTTCAGGCCTTATTTATTTTAGTGTTCATTGTTGCAAAGACCACTCTCATCTTCATTTGGTAACTTCTATTTGTTAAAGGGTCAAACATTCTTCCTACCCCACCCTTGACTTCGACCTAGAACAAGGAGAGAAAGGAACAGTGATCAACTCACTGTTTGCAAATATGAAGGTAAGATTGACCTCATGAACTAGAAATCAGATCTCTTCCAGCCAGCCATAATCAAAGTAAGAGATTTCAGGTTTTTTTCCCTGACTGAAAAAGCTATCCATCCTCACACCCTCCTTGGTTAGAGTGTAAATGGTTGGGTGACATACTCTTGGTTGGAGAGCTAACTTGGGAGATTTTCTGGCCCAGTTACTAACAAAAAAAACCAGTCCACTTTCCCATAAGAACAGGTCAAATATATGTGAAGGGAAGGGTGGAAAGGCAAGATCTCTAAAACTACACCAGATTAAGTGGCTAACATGAAAAGATCCTTAGCTGAATTTCCAGGTTTGATGACTGTAATTAAAGTGATACAAATGCCTTTCTTCATTTCCAAATGTGTTCCAAGTCCAAACCATAACACATAGAGACAATTCCTTCTTTTTTCAGAAAATCTTTTTGAAAGAAAAGAGAAAATTTTCCCAAAAAGGCTTTTGAACAAGAAATAGAGAAACTTGGATCAAAATTTAACCCTGGGTTAGTACTAATCGTCCGTTCAAACGACAAGGCTCAGGGTGGGAGGTGGGATCCTAGTTGGGATGACCTGTAAGTTCCAGTTGGGAAAAGTGGGATCCCACCTGTGTTGGCAGGATTCCCACCTGGGATCACAGATGGGATTGGCAGGATCCTGCCTAATGCTTAGCAAGTGAATAAAAATCATTAATTTTTTTTATTCATGCTGAAAATGTTCAGATGCACTGTCTGACATATGTTTAAAACTTACTTTGTAGATCAAGATCTGAGACCTTTAAAAGAAAATTCAGTACAATTATTTTTGTCTACAATTTGATGACTGGATGTCCCTCAAAGAATAGAGAAAACTAGCTGAGAAAGGCTTTTGAACAAAGGAACAAAGAATCTTGATTAAAATTTAACCCTGGGTTGGCACTACTAAGCCTTCGAAAAACTGGGGCTTGGCTGGTAAGCCTTGGATTCCAACCTTTCTCACAAACTTTTACTTTATAAATCATAGTTAACTATGTATAAATATATCATCTGACTTTTAAAATATGTAAATATTCTTCACTATTAGCTGTATTTCAATATATTAAAGGCTCGCTTTAGGCTTACACTTTTTCTTTGTTTACAATGCATGCAAGATAATTGATCGCAAAAACGGAAAAATTAGGTAAACATAAGATAGAAATAACCAACATTATGCAGGAACGAACCATGACGTAAATTTTCCGAGCGGAAGTAGAGCACAAATTTCCTATCCGAGGGAACTTCCGCTTTAAAGTGTAAATTTAATTGTGGAGGATCTTTTGAGTGCGAAAATTAACTTAAAAATCGTCAAGAATTGGTCCTGCAATTCTCCATAGATCTACACCATCATGAAATTATAATATATAATTTTTAACTTAGATATTCTGTTAGAAGTTATGGGAACAATACTTCGAGAAGTCCTGGGTAAAACGGATCGTTACTAGTGTTCAACAGTGATTCGATCTCGTCACCCAAAACATCTAGATGGGTTGAATCACCTTCGATCTCTCTTAACAGTTCATTTACGTCTTCGAACGTCGGGAAATTTCTCAGTTCTGTTGTTAAGCTCTGAAGAAATTCCTCAATCTGCGAGTCCTCGCTGGCAGCGCTCTGCGGTTTTTCAGAGATGGCGATAATTTCTTGAAGTTCACACAATGAGTTCTTTTGTGTTTCAGGTATACTGTCTCCGCGATCAGGACTTAAGTTTGTCGTTTCTGTTTCGTTGGATTCTTGATTTATGGTCAGTTTCCTCTTCTTTTTGGGGGAAGAACAAACACAAAAGTAACTTGAGCAAACTTCGCTACAAATTCTGCGCACGGTGCATTCCAAAACTGCCGCCACAAACATGTCGGGCTCTCGTTTTCGTTTATTTCTCTGCTGTTTCTTCACTGCAGATTGTACAAATTGTTCCTGCTCCACTCTTTTGTCGTCTGTCAGACACATTTCACTGTGGTTGTATGGTGAGACTGAACCGTATCGCCGAGGAAGTTGATTCTATTATAGATTCCTTTATTACGGCGAGGATCCTAATCGAATGACAATCACGATATACAATCTTTTCAGTGTTTTTTGTAAAATACGAGCAACAAATCTACGAAATGCTACGCAGAGTGGAACTTCAAATCAAAGTTAAGTATACTGTTGGCTGCGGCGAATGTACTGAGAGAGCCAAATATGGCGAATTATTTCAACCTGTTACGGAACCGACTGTCATATTGCACCACGGATCTGCAATAATAGGTATGGAAACCACAGCTGTAGGGACGTAGTCGAAGGTGGTTTCCCACTTAAATCCCGTCGAGGTATCCAACAAAAAATAAGTGATTTCGCCCACAAGTTGAAATTCTTTTTGACGGTTCGTTCTCCTTTCTAGAACTTCCGTGAAACTCCTATGAAAAATGACGTTTTTCCGTACTTTGTTGCCATGATTACGGCTGACTGGCAGCTAATGAACCAATGAACTTGAGCAGGCGTATTCCACAGGGAAAGACCCCGTGAAAAATATTTTCGTTGTCAAATGAAGTTGCTGAAAAGAAATTTGTTTTTCGCGGGCATTTCGCGAGAAAATGGTTTCTTGTTTCTAACTACAAGTTTCAAGATTCTTTTTCTAACGTGGACAACAATTATCTGGTGTTGTAAAAAGAAAGAAACCTAGATATATTTCAGTTTTCTTTTAGAATGCATGATCGTGACTTGAGGCGATTGGCATTGGCAGAGTTCGAAATGACGTCTGTGCATAGGAGCACGAACTAACAGATCACGCAACATAAATTTCAGTTTTTTTTTTTTCGGCGTTCAGGCTGGATTATAAAACCGATTAAGATCTGGTATCGTAAAAACAAATGACGCCAACATGAAGCCCTTCAAATTAAAAGAAAAGCTTTTTTTAAGGATCGAGGATTGGTCAAAGCTTCGAAAAAGACGTACCCAGTTTGCAAGTTGATGTTCTACCATATGGTAGAATTGTCGCAAGCCAACGCTACGCGAAGAAACAAAGAGACCTCTAGTGTGCAAAAACAAAGGCTAAAAAAACCTGTAGATCATACGTATTTTTGAGTGAGTGGGGAGCAATCGATTAAAAAGTATTCCTGACTGTTTTTAGAGTACTTTGACTCTGTTGCTGACAGGACTGAAAAGACGAAACTAAATCGTACGTGCTTACTCTTGTGTAACTACACTCTGAGTAACATAATGAAAACCCGTGAAAAAAAAAAGAAAGAAATCAGCTGCTCTCATCATTTATCGTGCGAAGGACTATACAACACTAAAGAACATTTTAATTTTATTCAGCCACTTCTAATGACGAAACAATTGTCCAATCCTACTATGACGAAATTCCCCCTTTTTGCGAATTATTCAAATTGACTGATAATAGCCAGGGAACTACGCGCTTCAAGATTCTACTTTTCTGTACTATATTTTCACCCTTAGTTACACGACATTTTAGTAAATTTCCTTTTTTCTTTTGCCGAAAAGCAGAAAAAAATCCCTGATAGTATATGGTGAGAGATCTCTTAATAAAAAGACATACATACGTACAAACATACATACACTCATTCATTTATTTGATATGTAGGTTTTTAAAAATATGCCACTAGACAGCTGATGTGGACCTACTACTACTACTACTAAGTCCAGATAAGGGAAAACAGAAATTTACAATACAGTTGTCATAAAGCTAAAAATAATACACAATAATAGTTGAAAGAGGCATCAAATAATTTAAAAATATCTAAATTCAGGGTTCTTATTATAATTTACAGAGCATTCCTTTTGGAAGCTGATGTCACCGACGTACGTCATGATAGGTTTTAACTTTCTTTTAAAAGAGACGTTCGAGAATGTTTTTATTCAAGCTTTTCTCCAATTTTAAGAGACTGTTTTTATTCAAAGGCCTGACTATGGTCGACAGTCGACACGATCTGGTTAACTACAAGAGTGTGTAAGAAATGCTCGCATTGCTGTCCACTGCGTTCTGATTTGTAAGGACCTACTTTGAATTAACTACACTTGGTGTACAGGTGAACAGTTGCCGCCTTGTTAGGCTCCAACCGAAGCTGTACTTTAAGTTTGCGAAAAGCACTTATCCTCTTAGGGTTTGTTTTTTTCCCAGCTTATCGGATGCCGAAAAAATCTCTGGTCTGACTGTGACTCTAGGGACTGGGCTGACGAGTTCGTTTAGCTCGGTAAATTTTCCAGATGTTCATATGCCTGATCCCTCGTCCTTAATTTCTAAGATACGACGTGCCATGCTGTGTCCGATCGCCTTGCCGACATGCAAATTCACCGACAACTCGCCGGCGTTTGTTTTTAACTCGTTGACGAATTGAAACGCAATGAACACTTTTGAGATGACTATATCGAATAAGTGGTGCTGACTGGTAGGACACCTTTTGATTTGATCGATCATAGCAAAGGAAGTTTGTATGTCAAACCACCGATTGCATCCCCAATCGGTTTAATAAGAGCAATTTGAAATCGTTGTTTAAGCTCATAGAGATTATGTCTGTTGCAAAAATTGCAAGGAAAAATATGCAAAAGATTGACTGTTGAGAAGACGTTAACGAACTTGTGCGCACGCGACTCGCATGAGCTTGCTTTGAGATTACGCAAGACCTTTTTATTTTTTACGCGTGCAATTTTCTTACAGAAGAATTGAAAGTTCTTTGTCTATTAAGTGGCGGTTTGTTTAACGGTCGTTGTCGTTTACCGTGAGTTTACAGTTTTCCGTGCTGGCATATACGTGTTTGTTTTTATTTTCCGTTTCGCTTCCGAACAGTGACTGAAATGTTCTTGACAAGTTACCTCTTAGATGATGCCCTTCCTTTTGATTTGGATTCGCTTTTTCTTTTGATGTTACCATAGTTAATTGAGGGGACTATGATGTTACAGTTTGATTTCTGTCACCGTGATCACCTAATCAAAACTCAACAATGCGATAAAATGAAACGAACTGTGAATTTCTTTTGAGACTTTTTCGTCAATGTCACTTTGGCGCGAAGCACTGACTAGTAAGTACACCTTGATTTACCAACTGTTCACTGCTTGTTTCCTGTACTGGTATTGGTCAGTTTTGTTTGACCCGTTTTACTCCTAAAATTTAACTAGCATTTAATTTCATCACCGCTGAATGAAACGCAAAAGTCACGAGGATAAAGAAAATAGTAGCCTGCAGAACTGACATTACTTTTTTTGCGCTTTTCAATCGAACAGAGGCAAGCACGAGGCGAGCGCGAAAAGCAAGTCGCACACCAGCGAAGAAGTTACCTTTTTGCGCTCCTTCCCTTGCGCGTGACTCACGCTTCATGCGCGCCTCGTTCGCCTCCATTCGCCTGAAAAACTAAAAATTTGGGCCTGCTCTGCAGGCTAAGGAGGTGGTAGTCAACCAGAGGAGCTCTCGGCCGCTTACGAATTCTCTTTGTCAGTACGATAAAATGTGTGCAGAGAACAGAGGAGGATATGCACATTAAGCGTTAAGTGACGCAAATAACAGCGGCCGCATTGAAAAAATTCCAAGCGCCATTTCGGACAAGATTCTGTGGCCTCGAGTTTCAATCCAATGAACACAGATTCACTCTCTTTCGATGCTGCTATTTGTATCCTGTAATATTTTCCCTGAGAAGTTCTCGACTAAAAACATTTCCGTGAAATACTTCTACATTTCGTTTTCTCTAATAATCGTTCCATAGTCTCTAAGATCTTGAAGTTCTTTGTTTTCTCGCTGTATTATCTGAGGCTTTTCTCTGCAATGAGCTCTGGGGGCCCGTATTCCATGGTAATCCAGAACTGTCAATCACGCTAGTCGACACTGTCACGTGATACACGGAGGGTGTGTTCAGAGAGAGCAAGAACTGGGCACTAAAGTAGTCGTGATGCGGAACCACTGTTTGTTCTAAACTGGTCACACAGTCGCGCGGGGACTGAAACAGATGATTCACAAAATAATTTTAAAATTCAGATTGAAGGATCATACAATTTAAAACAGTGACGTGCTACTCCATTGAACATCTTAAGAAGCGATATAACCGCAATTAAAAAAAAAAAAAATGATAACAGGCAGTAATGCCAGTTTGGATCGCATGATAAAAAACACAAAGTATCTTAGACTAGAAACATTTTATGGATCAGTAGGAAATTTCATAAACTTCACTGACCAACGAGCGGGCCATCATGAAAAGCACTTCAGGACAATCGATCCCCCCCCCTCCCCCCTCCTCAGCCCGCCGGAAGATTAAGACGAGTTGGAGAAGAGGTTTACCGAGGGTCTGGCACTAATACTCAACGCTAGATCACTTGCCAGACCTCTCGCCGCCTCCCGTTTCTCAAAGCCCAATACTATCCTGCGGGAAAGGAAATGCAAATAATGAGGGCAATCGTAGCCTAGAACTCACGTTACTTTTTATTCCTTGACCGTACTGTCATACATTATTGNACTACTATTCCTCTACAATCAGATGCAAGACTGAAACCAACCGCGCCTTGGTCGAGTGCGTTTTCCCGCGCTTAAGGCAGTTTGAGTGCTTTTATAATGAATTCTCGTTGGCTCTTAAGAGGTTTTCTCCTTCTACCTGACTGGTCGTTATATTACTTTGGTACTGGTTTAACGTCACTCAATCAAAAGAGCTCTAAATGACCAACTAGAGTTCACTTACCTTGATGGACGTAGACTGTTGGCTGCAAAAGAAGTACTTTGAAAATATAAAAGGTGCTTTGACCAGAGTCATCGAAGCGCGAATAAGACACTCGGTTTGCTGAAAGAAAAAAGTTGGCAAGCCATGATTAACAATTAAATACTTCTACCAATGAAGGTCAGTGGATTGTAAACTGCGCAAGTCAACGGAGTAGAGAATCTTTTCATCTGTAAAACACTATTCTGGTGTCATGTGAGAACTTCAGGAAAGCCGGAAAAAGGAACATGTGGCGGTAAAGACAAAAAATTAAAATCTTTGAGCCGGAATGTAAAAATTGTGATTTGGAAAAGTCTAGTCATGAAACAAATCCCTTTACAGTGTTTAGAATTAAAGCCTGTTTTGTACAGTTATTGTTTCTATAAAGAGACACGCTTTTCCTTTTTTACTTCTCTCTGTTTATAAGGAAAAAGTGCGTGTCTGTTAAGCGTTGGCCAAAGCGTTCATCTTTCTTCTACTAAATACACAAACACAACATTTCACAGGCTTACCAAATGACAGAGAGGGAGGGCTTCAAGCTGACTTACAAGGCTCTGAAATTAATCAGCAGAAAGACAATCCACTCACTTTAACTGTATGAGCAGTCTGAACTGACTGGGATGAGGAAAGTAATCTTTGGGATTACATTGGTTTGCTTTACTTTCCTCTGTGATTGGTCTAGAAATCTCGCGCCAAACTTTCGACCCATCAAATGCAAAATGAAAACAAATGGTGAGTTTGTCAGTCGCGTTTTACCGCGCTTCAAATAATTTGTTCGTCGTTACTTTGATTTCTCATTGAATTCTTAAGATTTTTCAATGCACTGCGACTACTTTTGGTTTTATAACGGTAGAACGAAATTCGCTGTCAAAAAGCCAAAATTAAAAAAAGGACAAATTCTAAGATAAAACCAACCTCTACTGTTTCTAAAATGTCTGTACACGCCAAAGACAGTGCGCTCTGCCTCAGAGTCGAGGATCTGTTTGTTTGTTCACCCACCGAGCTGGAGGGAAATGCATTACAAAAATAACAAATTAATACAACTCTATAAAGTCAATGTGTCAAGCACGGTTGATGAATCTGAAAATCCTCGGTGGCCTTACCTGGGCTGGGATGTCTTCATCAGTACATCAATACG